CCGTGGTGCCTGCCACTGGAATGTGCTTCCGGTCGAAGAACTTCCTGCGTAGATCATTGGCCGAAAACCCCTAATGCTGTAATCCCTATACTTTGCAAAACGCACATCCCACGAGTTGTTGCCTCCCGAATCAACTTTCTCAGCACGGAACTACCCCCCCCCCACCCCTTTCCCATTATGGTCCATTTAAAAAAAAGGGTAGCCCCTAGGGGGGGGGAGGCGCCGCCTACTACTACTACTACTACTACTACTACTACTACTACTTCGTAGCGGTAGCAGTAGCAGTAGCAGTAGCAGTAGCAGTAGCAGCCGTAGTGGTAGTAGTAGTAGTAGTAATAATAGTAGTAGTAGTAGTAGTTGTTGTTGTTGTGGTAGTGGTAGTAGTAGTAGTAGTAGCAATAGTAGCAGTCGCAACAGCAACAACAACAGCTTCAGGGTTTAGGGTTTAGGGTTTAGGGGGTTTAGGGCTCGCAGAGGCGGAAGGGCGAATGGGCATGTTTCAAAAGTATACCAGCATACAAGGTAAGCTCGTGTCTTCTTTTGGGGTGCGGCGATATATCATCTAGCTATACTTTTGTTACAGACGGAGGCGCACACACCTTTTGCAGGTACGGGAGACTTATAGGCCCTCAATTCTCTCTTAGGGCCTTGAAGGCGCTTCTCTGGACGAGTGCATGGACATCATCTGAGATCAGCAGCAGCTCGCACAACAACAAGCTAAAAGTCCAAGCATGACCTGAACGCTCACCCTAAGCTGGGTAGTGCAGTGTTTGAAGCCCCTCCGCAAAGTAGCTGAGAACATGGCCCATTATGTAAGAACACAGACACTCATTAACTATCTCAGATGGCCACCTAGTAAAGCGTGATAAACCTATAATATACTATAGTATACTAGAACATATTTTAATAATGTGCGAGAAAGTGCGATAATCTACAATAATATACTCTCTAATATACTATAATAACCTTAAACCCTGAACCCGGGCCGCGATCAAATCTTCCGCCGCTTGCCAGGTGGATCAGGCTCTGCTGGCATAGCCATGGCGACCAAGTAGTGTCGTTTGATGAAGCCCTGCAACAGTCAAATTATGGGGAAAGGGGTTCGGTTTAGAGCTTAGGGGGTAGGCTGCGGAGGTAATACTTCTGACTGCATGAAGAGCACAGACTATCCTGGAAAGGGTCGGGGCTACGGAGGGCGTTCCCATCCCTGAGGCGCTGCCACATCTCATGGGAAGCAGCCTCATAATCCATGACATCAGGGCTTTTTTGCGAGTTGTTCTGCAACGAATCAAGAAGCTGGCTCACTTACGGTAGGGGCATTCGCGCAAATCATACAAAAGTACGGATAAGTGAACGAGATTGCTCAAGCAGTAGCGTGCATAAAGGCGTCATCGTTGGTTTGGTACGGAGGACGCAAATATTGGAGCCGATTCTGGTGGGCTGCGTAAGTCTTTTATGTCCTAAACCCTCTTAGGGTTAAGGGTTTGGGATTCAGGGGTTAGGGCTTAGGGTTTGGGGTTCAGGAGTTAGGATTCAGGGTTTAGAGTTTAGGATTGAAGGTTTAGGGTGTGGGCTTTAGGGTTGGGGATTTATGGTTTAGGCTTTATAGGGTTTAGGATTTAGGGCCCAAAAACGGAACCCTAAAGGCCAAAAGGAGGACTCTACCCTTGGATCCCCAGACTAGAATCCCAAAGCTTTGCCCCCAAAGCCCAAAGCCTCCTCCAGAAAGCTTCTAACAGTGATAGGAGCCTAAGGGCAGTATGAGGAACAACGGTGGATACTAAAAATCCTGACCCTAAGTACCTTCTACCTTGGGAATGATGGCATTGTAATATATTAAGGTCAAGCAGGATTGTCAGCATCAACAGAAGGACCCTAGACTAAGGGCAGCATGAGGAACAAGGACCCTAAACCCTGAAATCCTGTAATCTGCCACCTGGTGCTTGCCGCCTTTGTAGGAGACGAAAACGAACTCTCCTGGCTTTAGTCCAAAAAGGTGCATGTAGCAATACATCTATATAATATGTACTTGGGCCCTTAAACTCTAAACCCTCAATTCTACAAATGGTACCCATAATAGGGGAAACCCCACTATAAACCCCAATATACCACAATCCTTTTTATGGGAACCCCTGAAGAGGCTAAGAGGTACCCCTACTTTTGGGAAACCCTGAACCCCAATGCTTTTTATGAGAACCCCTGAAGAGGTACCCCTACTTTTGGGAAACCCTAAACCCCAATCCCCAGTACCTATACATCCCTTTATAACCCCTGTAAACCCTAAAGCACTAAACCCTATATGCTTGGTGTAGACTGTAGGGCTCAAGGTCTCCGAGAGAGCTAAGCGGTACCTTAAGGCGGTTTAGGACTTGGGGTCTAGGGTTCAGTACCACGGGCCTCTAGAATGCGCCCTTCATCCCGAAGTGCCAAACTACCTAACCGATAGGGTTTAGGGGTTAGCGGGACCTGACCCATACCACATAAACGGACGTAGAAACTTACACATCTTGACTTAGCTTCTTGTACATCTGAGTCTTCTATCATTGTCTCTCCTGAGTTTTGTTGTTCTGACGCTCTCCCTTTCTCTCTCTCTCTCTCTATCTCTCTCTCTATCTATCTCTCTCTCTCTCTCTCTCTGTCTTTCTTTTTCTTCTTCTATTGACTATGCCAACCCCCGAAGGAGCTGGCTAGGGCTACGCCGCACAGCCGCGTACGGGCTCAGTGTCCGGGCAGGTACCAGCGAGCTGCGAATAAGAGTCGCCCAATATAAGTTTAGAATCAGCTCAAGAAGCAATCAATAACAGCCTTGACAGGTTATGAATTGATTGGGCTCTTCCAATCTCTTTCTCTTTCTTTCTCTCTCTCTCTCGCGTCTCTCTCTCTCTCTCTGTCTCTCATCCATATCTCTCTCTCTCTCTCTCGCGTCTCTCTCTCTCTCTCTCTCTCTCTTCCTTTCCCTCTCTCTCCCTCTCTCTGGGCACCTGGGGCCTTCAAGCTTCTGGGGTTGGGGTTGACTCTGCCGCTTTTGCGAGGCCGTTGTACCCCTGAATGTGTTGTTAAATGCTGCTCGTGCAACTACCCTACCATCTGCTGGTAGCAATCTACGAAACGAAAGATGCGCTCATGGCTAATGGGCACGTGTACATACACATATAAAATCGCAAGGTCTCTAGGCACCCGTTGAAGCAAAGCATGATGGCAAGCCTCCGCCCGTCTAAACAAGACATGGTAGCGACCTTCTGAAAGCTGACCGTGACACCTGCCTGTGGTATGCGTTCGGATATTGCAAGACAGGAAAGGTTGACTTATCCGAAAACTGCGCCTGATGCCAGACGAAAGCCAAAAGGACAGAAGAAGACATGACAACAACCTTAAATGCATCCAATGAACAGTTCAAAACTGTGAAAGGGAAAAACATATCAAATGCCAAAAGGGGACCTAGAGACCCTACCACTCTCATCTCTAGGCTTAGAAAAATGGGGGGGGGGGTAATAAGACAGTCCTCTCCGAAGGTAGCCGCCGCCCAACGGTCAGAACACCCACAGCCAGAGCAGTGCATGATCCAACTTACTACAGGTTTATGGGGCTCAAAGGTTTAATAGGGTTGATGGGATTTATAAGGCTTACAGGGCATATACGGTCTATGGTTTAGGGATGGGAAGGCGTCATTATAGGGACCATCAAACCAAAGGGGTGCCAGGAGAGGTTGGGTGCACTTATACGTCACCCTACCCCTTTTGCTGTACGTACGCCTACTCCCAACCTCTCCTAGTATATCTCACCGGGGAGTGTCCAGCCCCCGTCTGCCATAGACCCTAAACCCTAGACCCTTAAGCCATAAACTCTAAACCCTAAACTCTCTACTAAGCATCAGTACGCCACCAGCCGTCCTTGGAGAATTTCCCCCTGTGCAAGGTCTGGACCCCCGCCGGCCGACTCGTTAAGGGGTTCCTGACTTCATTACCAAATGGAAAAGAACATGGGACAGACATGGAATGCACACTGAAATTGTAGATGGGGCTGCGGGATGTAGGGGCCGAAATTCTTATTTAACAAGTGCTGGAGTATGTTGTGCTCTAGCTACAAAAGAACTTGGGGAGGGGATTTATTGGTCCCCAAACCCCAAATCTTACCTTCTTGAGGTGCCTACATTTAAAATGGTCCCTCGAACCTTGCTTGCAAGGCCGAAATTCATCAACCCAAAGCGTCAGGGTGTAAGGTTTATAGGGTTTAGGCTTTAGCGATTAGGCTTTAGTTAGGTGTACAATACATGTTAGAGGAAATTTCAGGTCGGCAGTGGCCAGGTGGGTAGCCTTACAATACGGCCTAAATGAGGCTTATATGGTGAGACTTATCGGGGGAAATCTTCTCATCTGAACTTTCATCACATACTTACGTCCCAAAAGGGTTCCCATATAACTTAGGGCCCAAGTATGTACCACATAGCTACCCTAAAGCCTAAACTCCAAACCCGAAATCCTATACCTTTCGGGCCCAAGTATATGTCATGTAGCCCCACGAACCCTTTGGGCAAGATCCACTCAAAGCAAACCTGAATACAACACTGAACTATGTACTGGGGGTTGTCTCGGGAATTCAGGCATACACACACAGGGTTTAGGGCTTAGGGGTTAGGGTTAGTAGGGAATAGGAAGTAAATGCATTATAGAAAGGCTGTACAGGGATTATATTCCCCTATCCCTTACTAGCCCGCAATAAGATTATGCACTAGATGTACTGCTGGCAGATGTCCCCGGAAGGTTCAGTAGTCATCAAGACCCACCAGAAGCAAACCCCTTCCTGCAACACCTAAATACTATTGAAAACCCGCATGTAATGCTCTTGGTGGGTTGTGGTCTCCCAGAGCCTTGAGACATCCCGAGATTCGGCTTATTTTCCGATCTGTCCCCCAAAGTTTGAACCAGCTCTAAAGCATGTACCTCCATGCCAACAGCTCTAAACCCTAACCCCCACGACTTGAGCCGTAAACCTTGACTGCCCCTTAAACCTATAGACTCTATAGACCCCATAGCCCAAAGGGGCCATGCATATATATATATATACACTCTTAGGGCCCAAACAGGTTCCCATGTAAATGCCTTCAGGGCACAAGCACATACTCTGTAGCTAGTCTAACCCCTAAACCCAACCCTAGACCTACCTACACCCTAAGCCCCAAATCTTAAACCCTAAACCCACCAAAAAAGATGCAGAGTTCAGGCTCCCGAAGCAGCTGCCGCGAACGCTTCAGGACCCAGGTTTTGGGGCCTGCGGAGATTTGGCTGATGTGGTTTAAGGGTTTAGGGTTCAGGGTATCGGGTTCAAAGCTTAGGCTGAGTTTTCATGTTTGTTTCAGGGTTTGGGGTTTAATGTTGGACCCTCTTATGCATGGGGACCCGGTTTAATGTCAAGTTCCGGGGCTAATTCAGGATCCGTGGGTATGTTTAGGGACCCGCTTTAATGTCAAGTTTTGGGGGCAAAATTCCTAATTTTAGATCTCAAAAGTTTAAATAGTTATTTAAAAATAGTCATCATTTGCTTATTCTTCATCAAATAAGTCAGAGCTTAAGGGCCTCAAG